CAAACCATTCGGTTCTCGATTCGGATACCCGTTCGGGTATTTCATTTTTAAAAACCCGCTCGGTTCGATTCGGTTCCGGTTCGGTTCGAACATTTTGCCCAGCCCTACTAGTTATTCTAAAGAACTTTCGATTTTCTAACCATCAAAGTAACGGATCCCATCACATGGGACCCAGTTTCACAAGCATTGGCTGGCACATTGTTGGAGAAGAACTATGCTATATGTACAGCCTTTTTTTACATTCACTTTGACAGTCCTCTCACATGGGGTGGATGGCCCCACCCACTCCCATGTGAGAGGGCTGTCAAAAAGGCTGTACATTCAACATTTTTGGTTGGAGAATCCAACCCTAATTTTCCCAAGCTATAATAATTTAAAAGCCCCAATTTAAGCTTCAACACTACTGCAATGACAACAAACTCAATACTAGTGATATCAAAACGGTTGGACCGGCCCGAGCCCAGCCAGACTGTCCATGAAAAGCTCGTTCCATCTAACAAAGTTAAATCATTATTTCAAAACTTGTTCACACAAGAAGAATAATATGTACCTATTGATGATGATGAAACTAATAGCATATCAAGAAAGAATTCTGAAGCTTTCTCAAGGTTGCTAGGCAATGATCATTCGTTATTGTACGCAGTAACAGGAATTGATTGACAAACCCCGTCTGCCAATATGGGGAAAAAGGAAAGAAAATCATTAATAAATTTATCTTACTGGCTCAAACAAGACCCCTCTGCGTGAAGACTTCAAGCATTGCAGAGCCAATCTTTGCAGGTGACTCGACTACAGTAACCCCAGCTTCTCTAAGGGTCTTAATTTTGTCTTGCGCTGTGCCTTTACCTCCTGATACGATAGCTGAAAATTCAAGGGAGTAGAAGCTGTCAATTTGATTCTGGCTTCCAAGAGGAAAACATTTAGCTATGATCTTTAAATATCGTTTTTTGATTTACTAGCGATATTATATATATCGAGATTGGATATTCAAATCCACAAAGAATTCATAAAAAAAAAAGGAGGAAACAGTGAACTACAGCTGGACACTATGTGATTAAATTGCAGTGAAACATTTTCTCCCGGTTCTTTTAATTGAAATGCAAATTCATGTGAAAAAAGGAAAATCCATTTGGTCGTGATAAAAACGTTATGGCATGATAACCTCTCATTACATAGACACAAATAGAAAATATCCATATATTTTTGTAAGATGTTAAACGAAAAAGAAAAAGGAAAGCAACAAGTCCTCACTCATTTACATGTGTTTTACTCTAAGGTTAATCAGAAACCAGATAAAACATGATGCCAAGAATAGAAGAGTTGAATATTTGAGAATTGACAAAAATACAGTACCTCCTGCATGACCCATTCGCCGACCAGGTGGAGCAGTAAGTCCAGCTATAAAAGCAACAATAGGTTTTGCGGTTCCACTTTCCTGTTTTAGTTGAACAAATATTTTCAACACAGAAACCAATGAGATATCAAACATTAAATAGTCAAAAGTTCAAAATCTTTTCTAAATCCAGCTACAAGCAAAATAGTTGAACAAAGATTTTTAAATTAATAATCTGCCAAACATTATGCATTGTTCTTAGTTAACACGGTGTATTAGAATAACATGAAATTGACTAGATAATTTCTTTTCCACGATGGTTTTAGAAAAGGGAAAAAAAAAAAAAAATCCTTCTTCATAATTGCTTGACATTACTGACACAATCACCCCCACCCAAAAAAATAAATAATAATAATAATAAATAAAAATCTCCCTAAGAGTTAACATGTCACCGTCGTGAGTGTGCTCATAATCTTTGATAAATGGATTCTCTCTCTAAGATATTATCCTTTCTTAAGAGGTCCATAATTTATAGATATGGTGCAACCAATGTTTATTTACTATGTGTACACAACAATGTGACATAGAAAGTGTTCCATAAAAAGAAGCAGAATATTTATAAGAATTCCATTTTAGCTCATTCAACTAGGTCAAACGTGCATACCTCCATATTTCATTCAGAACAGAAATGGTCCTAATGAATTCTACCATATCATCTCATTCAAGAGAAATATTTTGGCCTTGGTCTTTATAAGAAAATATAGTTCAAGACAGCACCAAAAAGAGCACATTTCCCCTAAAAAATTTTGAGAAACAATACAATTTTTTGGGCTACCAAAATAAAAATATTCCAGAAAACCAACAACTAAATTTAAAATTCAATCCATATTAAACATTTACATGCCACTTCCTTTCCTCATATTTGCATTCTCACATTTTTATCTATTTTACCACAAGTAATATTTACCCTCTTATTGTAGCAACACATTTGCTTATTCATTATAATATTTCTTCTTATCTCTTCAAGACTAAATACCATTGTGTATTAAATTGTACAATTTAGTACACCAAACAATATTTGATATTTCCATAAACGCAGAATCTGAACAGACCTACCTACGCAGTCACAATGTTTAACATCATATGTAGCCCTTGTTTGACCCCATTTTTTTGAGTTAATAGTTTTTGGAATGGTGATTTTTTTGAGAATGTGTGATTAAAAAGTAAGAAAAGTTTTAAATTTATGTGTAAAATTATTTTATTGGGAGTGTGTGTGATTGAAAATGAGTTATGGGAAAAATGAGTTTTGAAAAAATGGGGCTCAAACAAGGGCTTAATCTTCATTTCATTGAACAAATAAGCCATAAAATAAATAAAAAATCACAATTATAAAGATTAAATCTTCATCTTTGTCATATCTCTGATGGCATTTGGGCTTCCAACCTCTAATTTTAGCATTTGCTTTTATCCTCGTTGTCCTACTTCTATGCCATGTTTGGAAACTAGTTTTGTAGGACAACTTTTGTTGAGACAGGAAAGAAGCTATTCCCAAAATAAAGGTGAAGTTCAATGAGATGAGAAAGAAAAGTAGAAATGAAGGCCTGGAAACACCCCTAGGATCCAAAAAATCAAATCACGATAGCATCACAGGGGGTCAAAATAGCTTCAAAAAGTTGATAATAACTCAAAAATCATGTCACTGATAGTGAATTATATACCATACTGACAGTGGTCTACTGACCTTAAAGCTAAAGAACAATTATTGATAAGGATTTCAAATCCTAAACTAGAAGGATTCTAATTGTTAGGAACCTTATTAAATTGTATATCGAAATTAAAACTAATGACTGCTGGCACTGAATTGAAAAGCAAAAAAAAATGATCCATAAGTAGAGACAAAATGTAAGTTCCAATTCATCGCACGATTCCGAGAAAGATATTGTCCTAACCTTTATAAGGGCTGCAGCATCCTCTTCAGCTGTACCACCTATCTCGCCAATTAGAACGATGCCTGAAATGCAATTTGCAAATAATAATTTAGTATAGCATCTATTTTGTCAGCAATGAACCGGAGCAATAGATTTGAGTAATGAGAAAAGTGATGACGAGACTAAGCAGAGTAAAGATAAAATCCTTGCACTTTTGGGAAAAAGGACAGCAAGGAGGAGTAAGACCACCATCAGTAGAGATTCAAATTCTACAAAAATTAAAGGTTGGAAGCCCAAATGCCAAGAAATTTTAATCTAAGAAGCACCGATACTTGTAAACTTGTTAAGTACCCGTATCCAAACTCTAATATCCTCCGCTACGTACCAGATACTTGTTTTTTAATTATTTTATATATTTTTATATTTTTTAAATTTTTGAAAGGTATCCAATATGTATTTTTCTAAATTATTTTTGTAAGATTTTTGATACTATTCAATACTTCATGGTTCACCTGCACCTTTACTACAAAACATTGTTTTGAAACTTCTTGTGCAACATTTTTCTTCATCTAGTGCTGAAAAAATTGGAGTACGTACTCTTTTGTGCACTCTACAAAAAGGAATAAAATAATTCTACAACGAACAGAAGAATTGATTTTTATTCATAGCAATTTGAGTCTTTTATTAAGAAAATTAAATCTCAATTCAAAAGAAAAATCCAACATATGGGACATTGTCGGAGACTCATTTGATACTCTTGAAGGTGTTGCACTCCTTGAGGTTGCTAATCTAATTAGATGAGCCAAAAGTTGGAGAGTGTTATTTTTAATACTAATGAAGATATTGATATTAAAGAAAACAGTTGGAGAGTGTTATTTTTAATAATAATGAAGATATTGATATTGAAGAAAATGAAGTTTCAAAAACTAATGGTTAAATAAAGTGCTTCAATATTTTATTTTTATTCCCATGCTTCTGTATTAATTATTTTATATTAATAAAATTATGTTGAATTTTATAACATATATCGACGTATCCTAATTTTTTCAAAAAAGTTGTATCGGCGTATCCGTATCGTATCCGAATTATGTATCCGTATCCGTGCTTCTTAGATTTTAATAGGGGCTCAAGTGCTTACTTAAGTATAGAATGGAGATTGTACATGGAAATTTTCCCCCAAAAACAAGATTTATACTTTCTTTGGAGTATTATAGACCTCTAATGCAAATGTAACTATCTTTATGAATGAATGAAGCGAGCTCTTTTCAAGTCAGAAAATGTCTTCCTGGCAAATATCTTAGGTGGCAACTAAGTTTAAGCTTTTCCTGGCAAAGAGTTACCTTCTGTCTGTGGATCCACAAGAAATTTTTCTACGCAGTCGACAAAATTTGTTCCATTAAAAGGATCCCCACCAATTCCTACACATGTAGACTGCCCAAGACCAACAGCAGTGGTTTGGAAAACCTAACAAATTCACGTTTGACATGAGTAATCCACAATTAAAAAAACCATCACACGCTTAGAAACGCATGCATGCTGAATTTCAAGTGCGATGCACCAAATTTAAAAAAATATACAACAGAAATAGAGTGCAGAAGAGGAGATGCAAGAGTACTTCTCTACTTAAAATCAGTTATAAAAGAATATTAACCACCAAAATCAGCTATCCACGTGATATTAATTTTCTTAATTTAGTTTTAGGTGGAGAACTTCCATGATTGAAAGATAGAAAGATTGGAAAATTGAATTTGAATACTCAATTTTTTTATCTGTAGTAAACCAATAATTTTGCTATATCCTAGAACAGCATCCTGATTTGAATCCTAACTGCTACCAGAAACTCAGTATATACACCTGTCATGTTCTCTGATTTGATCCTTTCCTAGATGTAACTGTTTAAGTCCTTTTAATCAATGATTTAAAATCTGAATGTGAAAAAGTACCCTCTTCCAACAAAAAAATGAGAATATTGTCAATATAATACTTCAAAAAGTTGATCAAATTTGCCTGCTGTAGAGGCAACGTTGAAAGTTGTAAAAATGAATCTATAACCTACAAAAAAGTGGGCAAATCCAACTTCTTCATCCAGTGAACTTTGACAACTCCAGTCTACGATTTCTATCAATAGTTTTGATGTTCTGAATTAAAACCCTAAAGTGCTAGGCGTAAAAAGGACCTTCCAAGATGATGTCCTAACCTTTTACAAAATGATATTACTTATTACTTGTGTTGCAGCATCCAACCTCAGTGAAAAATCCAAATTCATTTAATGTCATAAAACCTAAATGGTGGAAATCAATGTGATCCAATGGAAATAAACTTTGTTATTTAGTTAAATTTTAGATTTTTTGACTCAAGGAGTGAAGATAATTTGTTGATGGGAGGTTTATGATGCATGTTGAGCTACAATGTGCTGGATGGAAGTTTGAAGAATGGAACAGAGCTTGCATGATATAGAAATGAGTTATGGACGGTTAGGTCCAATGAGATTGGGTTGGTTGTTGAGTTATACCACATCCGTCCCATAAAGATAGACTTGTTTCTATTTTCATACAGATTAAGAAAATGTAATTAATATAGTATATAAACATTTCTTACATTTTTCCTAATATACCCCTACATTAAATAATGGTTTAAATAGGATTAGTTTATAGCTGTTGATAACAAGTTATATTAAATCGGGGTATATTAAAAAACTAGAAAATATCTATACTTTCAATGAGGAAAATGGACCGTAATTTGTCCCTGTAATTTGGGACAGACGAAAAAAAAAATCAAGTCTATTTTTATGGGACGGAGGTAGTAGAAGACAATAGCCATAGTAGAGTTAGTACATGAGATGTAACTACGACTTCAGCACAAAAACTCTATGTTCGAAAACTTGTTAGGTTTCACAAAAGCTACCACCCAAAACTACGAGCACAAAACTATCTGCATCGTGATTTAATGGAAATTGAGAAAAGAACGTATGGTACTCCTTTACATAGTGGTATTTGAATATTGAAATGTGCTATATCATGTCAACTCTCTCCTGAATAAATTTGAAAAATATTAATGGATTGAACCATTAATCGATGTTTAAGACAAAAGGATTCCAATGGATGCTACCAGTGGTAAAAACAATTCTGGAAGTTCAAAAGGTTGTATCCATGAAGTTTGTCAACTATCACAGCCCACAGGATATAAGATTTTCAGTAATTGCATAAGCTTTGACCCTTGACCCATGAACATGAGTCACAATTGGCGGTGTTGATTAGACTGGAGCTTAAGGCTATTGGATGGTCTACGAAAATAAGAAGTATAGCACCAAGATGAGCCTAACTTTACTTTGGTGCTATATATATATATATATAGAGAGAGAGAGAGAGATAAAATCTCAAAAACGTGTCTTTGAAACATGGATTAATTTATTTAAATGAAATATCTGGAACCACCCAGCAGAACAGAATGACTAAGCACCAATCTCTACAACCTATAGGATTTTCTAACTGCTGCTAGATTAGAATTTATCACCCAATAATCCATTAATGTTTTCTGTATAAAGGTCCCATATAAAAGAAAAAATAAACAAATAATATGGAGTCTCTTTTCTTAAAGAGCTATAGATTCTAAAGGCTTGAATCATAAGAGATATATAAGACATAACAAAAATTTCAGATGCAAGATAATAAAAGCATCTCACCGCTTCATAAGTCAATGTTCCAGATCGTGAAACAATTCCAATACGTCCTGGTTTGTGAATGTAGCCAGGCATAATTCCAATTTTGCATTCTCCAGGCTTGATAATGCCAGGACAATTTGGTCCAATGAGTCGAGTTTTTGACTGCTGGTTAAGAGCAGCCTTGACACGAACCTGCAATTGAGGAGACTGGACATTTACAGAACTAGACAATAAAAACAATTATGAGCTAATGTAAAGGGTTTCATCTCCGTGTAGATGAGTTATGCCCCAGTTTGGATTTTCTAATGATAATCAAATATTAACATAAACTCCAGGAAAAAACTGAACGAAGAATATAGGCATTTGAGATATGCAACTGGCCAAAAGTATAATATGGGGAAGTTTTGTTGCCATCACCAAAATGTTTTGTAGGTTAAATATCTCAAATCTAAATCCTGATTTTGCACCCTCTCCCCAATTCCCTTCCTCCATCAGCCTAGCAGACAAGCCATGACATGTTTCTCATTCGTGCAACTTTTGAAGGCACATGTACAAATCAGAAGTCACAAACTCACAGGACACCAACCTTTTCATGAGCCACCAGAGCAGGAAATATATCTAGTAGCTAATCTAATTAGACCTAGAAGAGAAATCGGGAAATAAAAACATTAGATGCGTTTGTTTCTATCACTGGTGAGAGGTGTTCCATTATTCTCTTAAAATAGTAGTCAAAGAAATCTTAATTAAGTGAAGCTTCATAATTGGAGTTAGCTCCATACTCATAACTTGTATTTTCTTTGTTGAGGAAAGAAAGGGAAGTTATGAATTTCTACTAAATTATATGATACCATGTCATGTTGAGGGATGCCCTCCGTGATGCAGACAACCAAATCTAGTTCAGCCTCCACTCCCTCCAAAATGGCTCTAGCCGCAAAAGGTGGAGGAACATAAATCACTGATGCATTAGCTTTTGTTTCAGCTTTTGCTTCTGCTACAGAGTTGAAAACAGGAAGTCCCAAGTGCTCTGTTCCACCCTTTTTTGGGGTAACTCCTCCAACCTATGTAAAGCAAACATGAAATGTGAGGAAAATACAAGAATACCGTTCAATATAAGTTTCAAACAGAACTTGGAAGCGTAAAAGTGAGGGGGAGGGGGAAAGATAGAGAGAGCCCCCCCACCCCCCACCCCCCCAAAACAACAACAACTCCTTCACCAATTTTGGGCTACAAAAGAGAGAAAATATGTTGCTTCGTATTTCTTCTCTGGAACCAACAAACAGTTCTCCAATTGAAATATAAATGTGTCTTCTATACTTCTGGAAATTTGAAATGGCAGCCATATATTCAATGTGTAGCCACTTCCCCCCCTTCCACTTTGGCTATTGAGCATTGAATGCTACCTTAGTACCTCAGCAACTACCCTTGATCGCTTTAGTATCAAGATAGAAACGTTTATTCTTTGTAAATGAATTTTATTTCTAGTTTCAATCAATAGTCTAGATCTTTGAGAAATATGAATATACAACCAAATAATCCATGGATTCAATATCCAAGCTACCAAGGCATCTAGCAAGAGCACATCATACAACTTGATGTACTATCATACCGTTTCCTTCCAAAAAACTTCTATTCGATTTATGTTCGCATGAACACTCTCGTAAATGATCTGTTTGTATATTAATGGTAATTTTGCTAACCCCTGATACAAGAGATTACATCCAGTATACTGTCTGATATATGATTTCCCTATGGATCCAGAAAACACTAACTGAAACCAAAAAATTAGAAAATCGCACAGACAAACAAAACAAAAATCCACAATCGCATACAAATATACACAATAAAATAATTTGATACCATATGTTTACACAAATATGCTAGTGATTATGCGTGCCCTGTGTTAAGCTTTGATCGGAAAATATGAGCCCGGCCTACACATGAGGGGGGCGCATAGAAGACAAGATTGAAAATATGCGTCCCCATAACGTATAAGCTTGTAGACGAATTGGTTAGCAAAATTATAATGGAAATGATAGTAAAGAGTAAAGACCATATTTGTGCCATATTCAATGGCCTGTTCTGTGTGGAAAGTGCCATTCTTTCCGGTGATGCCTTGGCAAATGACACGGGTGTTCTTGTCCACAAACACCGCTGGAGGAGACGGTGCCGATCCGAGGTTGCGGTACTGCTGGAGCTGCCTAGAGTACAAGAGCTTTGACGTTACGTTGCTAATCAGTCTGGTGACTTGTCGAGTCATTGGTTCAATTGATTGCTGTGGCGGCACTGATGCGGTAGGGCGGCGGCGGGGGTCGGATCGTGGGTTTGCTAAAAAGAATTTACGGGTGGTTATTCGCAAGAGTCAGAAAAGGACCAAAAACAGTGTATTAGGGAAAATTGCATTTCAATTTTGCATAAATGAAATTTTGAAATGTTAAAAAAAAAAATTGAAAATAGCTGACATATTTGATGGGATTAAAATTAGATTTTTAACAAATTTTTATAGAAGTTGGTCAAATATACAGTTAAAAATTTATTGGATCCATATAATAAGTGATTAAAATTAATTGTTAACTTTGATCGTAATTAAATTTTACCAAATATGGATTTAATTTTTCCATAATGGAATGGTCTTGGATTGTGATTAATTTTAAAAAAACATGTTTTACAAAATTAATTAATTTTACCTTTTAAAAAAAGTTTTAAGCACAAGCCATTATAATCGTTTTTCTTTCAAAATACAATTAAGTTATTTGTACATTAAGCTTGACACCATTGTTGACGATGGGTGACATGGTAATATTGTGATGGTTGAATTAAATGTATAAGATGTGAAAGATATTGCGATGTCGTGCCAAATGTAAATTCGATAAGTTAATTAAAATTAATTGTTAACTTTGATCGTAATTAAATTTTACCAAATATGGATTTAATTTTTCCATAATGGAATGGTCTTGGATTGTGATTAATTTTAAAAAAACATGTTTTACAAAATTGATTAATTTTACCTTTTAAAAAAAGTTTTAAGCACAATCCATTATAATAGTATCTCTTTCAAAATACAATTAAGTTATTTGTACATTAAGCTTAACACCATTGTTGACGATGGGTGACGTGGTAATATTGTGATGGTTGAATTAAATGTATGAGATGTGAAAGATGGTGCGGTGTCGTGCCAAATGTAAATTCGATAAGTTAAGATATAAACTAGGATGTATATGTAGCAAGATTGTTCAAAATAATCACTTGACTCACAAGTGAAGTTTAAACGAATATGTTATATATATATTCTAGTGTACATCTTTCTAGGCGCCATCCAGATTATACCACATAAGAAGAGTGTGAGGCTATATATATATATATACAAGAATGTACATCTAGCATAATTGAATTCTAAATTAAAAGGTTAAAAATTAGATGAGGTTAATTTTCACTTAGGGTCCGCTTGATTGTAAGGGTGGAAAATTAATGGAAAGAAAATGAATTTCAGGGAAAGTAATTGTTTAGAAAATGTTTTGTAGGGAATTGTTAATCAAGTGTGTTTCATTGTTATAATTTTCCACCCGAAAATTTTTTAAATTTTGTGTTCGTTTGGCTTTGTTTTAAATGGAAATTGTCCATGAAACTGATAATTATTTCCACAATTGATTATAAAATTTGTTTCCATTGCCAAAAAGTAAAAAAAAAATCCAAGAAAATCATTTTTTCATCAAAGTTTAGTGTTCGTTTGACTTTATTTTACATGAAAATTGTCCATTAAAATTAAAATTTTTCTTACAATTGGTTATAAAATTTGTTCCAATTGCCAAAAAAAAAAAAAA